GTTTTCTCTGTCACCCTCTCGCTTATTCTCTATCTCCGTCCCGTTCCCGGTCGCCTCTCGCTCTTCGCGTTACCTTCTATCACTGCCTCTCCATCTTTCTCCGTTCACCGTGGCTGCCGTACACCCCCGCGACCGCCCACCCCCTAACAGCCACGAATACGACGGTTATATGGATGCTATAGGGCATAGAGCGTCGCTAACAGGGACTTTCCTACGCTTTCCAGCGCGCCGCGGAAACCGGGCGGTCCTCTCTCTCTCTTTTTTTCTCTCCGCGAGGTGAACCTGGCGGTGTCCGCCGCCTTCCACCTCATCCTGTGCGTATACATCCACAGTTAGTCCCGCGATTAACGGCGATCGTGCGTCTCATTACGTACGCATGATTTTTTTTTATCCACGAGGTATCATGGGTCTCGGAATGCTAGCGAAAGAATACGGGTTTGATTAGATAGTTTTCAATTGTCGTCATCTCTTTTCCGATATCGACGTGATACTTGTCAATACAGTTACACGTGATCGATCAGAACTCTTGATCCTTTACTGTTCCGCGAGTATTCATGTCTGAAATGTATAATAGCTGGTATACTGGCCGTAGAGATGCAGTCAGGTTCTGAAATTGGTCGGACATTCAAGTAAACATGTTTCAAATGATAACAGAAGCAATGATCTCATTAAGTCTTTGAATTGAGATCAGCACCCTCACTTCAGTCCATAGTTTGGCAACATAAATTAGTAGTAATTCTAAAGAATCTTCTGAAAGATTCTGAAGTCTTTAAGGTTCTGCCTTAAAAGTTTCATTTATGACCTCATTATTTAGCGTGAAACGTTGTATCTACCCCTCACGATGCTCGCGAGCGTTTTATAACTGTTTCAAACAGAGTTTGAGTTTTTATTTTGGGGATGGAGCAGATGAAGCGCTGTTGCGAGTGGATTGTTGATCTTTGTAGGCTACATTGTTTTTGAAGGTTTTCGTGAATAATACAACTAACTCTCCGCGATGGAAAGTGTAGTTTTTTTCCAGGATTTTCATAGGTACCATTGAATTCAATTATACTTCCACGTGTCCCTTAATTCACTAATAATATAAGGTTTCCAAACAACTGGTATAGCCTTGTAAATGTAAATCTAATCGTATAGATCAATGAACGAGCCTGAGAATTTCATTCGAAACTTCACCATTCAGCTTGAACCTGTTCAACTAAGAATGAGTAATCGTCGGACAGATACAGTAAATACAATCGATATTTCACAACGACGAACATCAACACACCAGACTTCAAACTCGTACAGATAATCCGATTTAACGGAGTAATAGAAGAATCATCGGACGAAGAAGAGAACGAAGTGTTTCGAAAAAGTGAAGCACCAGATCACCGTTACAAGAAGTATGCAATCACGCGGCCGAAAAAGCGCAAAACAGCGAAATAATAAGAAGGATGACCGATCAGCCGGCGGCTCGCATGAATGAAACCGAGAATCCCGACGGTGCCGGTTAACCGGTCGGCGAAGCCAGTATTGTTCGAATAATACTACGTACTTGAACCGATAATTACGCGGGTATAGTTCAATGCTGCCGCGGATTCAAGGGCGAAGAGAAAGGCTGTTTAGTTGGACGTTCGCTGATCCAACGTGAACTTGGGATCCGTGGCGACGTGGACCTTGACACCGGCGGCTCTCTCGCAGCTAAACACCTTCCACGCCGCGTTCTCTCTCCGACTTGTCTCTCCGAACGACGATACCAATACGCCGGGAAATCGAAACACGGCGTCGAAGATCGTAGACGGGGAAAAAAGGAGAACGAAGGAAGGAACGAACGAACGGAAAGGAACGGAGGGAGGGAAACGGAGGAAAAAAACAACAATCTTTTCCAAAGGAATTCCGAGATCGGGTTTACGCCGGCGGAACGAGTTACCCGGTATAATACGATACCCATTTCAGTTTTTAGTACTGTAAATAAGAATATTTAGCCGTTGACACGTGCGTTTATGACTGTGGACTACAGCTCGTTATCGACGCGTTAACTGGCTGGTCTTCCCATAGGCGTAATTACCGGCGAATAAAAACCACCTGACGCGCGGTTCGCCAGTTATACCGCGCGAATAGGATGCAATCTACGCTGATAGAGATATTACGGTACAATTAACCCATTTTTTTATCCCTTTTCGCCCGGCCGTCCGAGGATCCGGCCACTTCCACATGAAAACGCGACTATAAACCATCGCGCCACTCAATTGCGAATCTGTACTAAACTCCTTCGAAAAATTGCCCCCGTCCCCCGTCGTTTTTCCTTTCTTTTTGCGGGGAGACCTTGATTGTGTATCGGGCCGGCCGAAAGGTCTTGGTTTTCCTTTCCGCCGTGGCGCGATGCGCGAATAAATACTACGGGTAAATACATCGGTGGACGGTGGAAGCTTGTCCTACTGAAACGATCAACGCACAGTTCAGCGAGGTTCGAACAGAATGAAATTTGCCTGTGAATTTCCTTGGGAAAGCACTGCTTGATTCGTATAATGATTCCATAAATCGAGCACCATCGATTCATTTCAGAGTCGAGTAAATATTTTACGAGAGTTTCAAAAGAATGTCAGTACACCTCGGTATCGGTTTTTATTTGATCGAGTTCTTCGTCTCTTCGGTTTCTCCGAGACACTGAAATTCTCTTGCGAGGAGGTGTCAACGCCGAGATGCGATTTAAAGAATAAAGAACGTTACGAGTCGCCGACTACGGGACTGAAATCGTGAATAACGGAGCGAGAGGGGGGACATCGATTTCAGTGAGATCACGTCGAAGGGACGATTTTCGATCGAGAAGAGTTCCGTAAAAAATGCTACGAGAAAAGTTTGATCCGAAAGTGTGGAAGCACTCACGATTAATTACGAGGCCTCAACTCATAGTAAAAGCCGGCTCCACGAGGCTCCATCACACCTGAAACAGAGAAACACGCAGCCCCCATTAATATTTCGTCGTCGAATGGTCTCCGCGAGTTCCTCTATCGGCGTTCCGGGCAATTAGGTAGCGAACACGCGGCTATTAGGAAATCTCAGCTGGCATTTGCATAGAAACTGGACTGTTTTCCAGTTGTTTATTATGCACTCGGTCGATGCGGCTTGTTCTGACGAGTCGAACGATCTCTCGTGCTCGAAGTGAGGGAAAGGAAAAGGGAAAGAAAGGAGAACGCGATACGTGTAACCCGCGTGATAGGAAATCGGAGCGGTTAAAAAAAAATCGTTGGGTGAACAGCCTCGAATAGTAGCAGTTTTCATTCACGGCCGGAGGTATCAATGAACGGGAGGCCCACGCTCGACCGCTATTTAAATCGAACCAACTATAATAGCTCACGCAATTAGCATCATTCATATTCATAGTGCACCCAGTTCACAAGGAATTACGGTGCCACTCGTGATAAATATGTATACACGAACAGGACAACGGGACACGACACATATACGTGTGGAGGTGGGGTAAATATTTAAAGTCACCTCATTCGGAAGTTCTTGACGGGATGCGCCGGATGTAATTGCTCGACGCAAGGAAATCCCGTTTAAATTAGTGTAGCGTCGAATGTAATAAAAAGATCGCAGATTTTTATGGAAGATTCTGTTTTTTGAGATTATTCGTTTAAACACTGGAATGAGACTGAAATCATTGCGATGGAAATGAAGTATGAAAATCTTTGATTTCTGTTGATATAAATATTCCTTTGCACTTTAGAAATTTTTAACTGATATTTGGTAATAAGGCTTGTGTAATAAGGGAATTTAATACCATCATAATGCAATGACTTCTTTTCATTTTTTTATTGAAAAGGAAAATGCGAGCATCCATTTCAGCCGTGTTAATTTTGTAAGATTTATTTGCGAACCGTCTGCATCGTTGGATTATCTTCGGAAGTGTAGTGAAGTATATATGTAATTGGTACTTCGCGGACTTAATTATTTCCGATATTAACATACTAATTATGATGCTAAACGATATTTTGTACACGGTGACAGGAGAAGTCAAAATAATAAAAAACTCGATGTCGTGGGATTAACGAGTTTGGGTAATGAGCACCTGATCGACAGCTTTTACAGATATAATGTCTACAAGAACATCCGGTCACAGGCCATTACTTTTGAACGTATCAACTATGCCACTAACAACTACCGCCAGAACACTTTTCGTAGCAATAAAACTTCTTCTCTGGTTTTGATGAAGGCTATTACACGTAACGATTAAAAAGGATTCCAGCGGGATGATTTAATGTTCATAAAATCCTAATAAAAGATTCAAGGTATTATATAATAAGAATTCATTAAATCATCCCAAATGCACCGGTGTCATTGAAAAATCGATCAACTCCCGCATCAATCCTAAACTCGTAAAGAGAAAGATTACGAAAGAATTCTAGTGTAAGCATTAACTTCCATTTGAAATCTTCTGAATTTCTTCATTCAATAAAATTCTATTAACACCATAACAAAGCCATCATATTTTATGTATCAACGGGATAACAATAATTCCGTGTCACGAAAATAAACTGCAATTTGATCATTCGAAGAAAAACGAATCGTGCAAGTCGTAATTCGAGATAAAATTAATCGTACAAATGATAATTTCATGAAATATTAATCGCACGATTGATAATTCGTGAAAAAATTAATCTGTCGGGTGTTGAATATATACGATGCATCGATTCTCGCGGGGAAAAGAGCTGAGGGAAGGACGGTGTTCCCGAAGGTTGTCGGAAAATCCATTATGATCCCCGTTACGTCGGTCGGCAGCGAGAATCGGGAATGTGTTTGCGAAATTCGCGGGGATTTCTTGCGCAGGGGGCGGCGCAGCGCGGCGTCAGCGGTGTCGACCGAGAAATTAGAACCCGTTTCGCATAATGCCGTTACGTGACGGTACATCGCGTCCCGATCTCCGACCTCTCTCTTTCTCCCACCGCCCTCTACCGCTCTCATTCTCGCGCAAGTGGTAATTTGGTTAATGCGACAAAATTTGGATTACATCCAGATTGCGGTTACCGGCGCGCGCTTCCGGCTCCCTTCGACGGTCTCGCGTGCGCGCGCGATTAGATCAATTCGAACGATTTATCTATAAATGGAACGCAGCGGG